TTTGAGGGGCTTAGGTTTCCCTGAACAGAGCATGAAGCATCATGAACCCAAAGCCTTCCAACGGGTCAGAGGCGGGTTTCAGAAGGCAGAGGATACCATTTTCAAGGGCACTTACGGCGGCTTAGGGTCGAAAGACTGCATTGAACCTGGGAGATCCAAGAAGTTCTCAGGAGGATCTTCTAAGAGGAAGAGAGAGAGAGAGAGAGAGAGAGAGAGAGAGAGTTATGAATTAGGGAGCAGTTCTACATTCCGGATCATCTTCAGAGAAGTTGGTTGCTTGGGTTTAGGGTTTGGGAACAATACTATAGCTTTGGTCATAGTTACTAGTGCCACCATTATGGCGTGGGTTACGTCCAGGGGAGGAGGTGCAGAAGCAGTTGACCCCCGAGCTATGTGTGGTTAGCCGACCTCAGGGGCTAGGAATTGTCTACAAGCAATCGAATAGCTGGAACGACCAGCTACTGCAGGCATGGTTTCCCGGTCGGGCTTTTACCACGGCTGATTCAAGTTCGTGCAGCACCAGATCGCTGGGATTGGCTGGAAGCTGGTGAGTCAACAGACTCATTTCGACCATGCATATATCGAACTCAGTGTGGCTGGCTTTCACAGCCTACGCTTTAATCGGGAACAGATCGAAGGAGTCGTACTTGTCATGTGTTGCCTCCCGTGCTGCAGATCCCAATCTTGTTTCGATCTTTGCCGGAAGCGTGGCTGCTTAGAGCACGGCGTCTAGCAGAGTCATGAGTGCATTGCGCGGCTTCCTGATTGTCGGCGGCAGTCAAGGTGTGTAGGGATCGACACCGGGCTGGCCTGGCTTCAGCCCATTGGGGAAACGGGTTCAAGATCAAACTAGGGGGGGGGGGTCTATGTACATAACTCATCAACAGTAACAGCAATTATAGTCCTTAGGAACTGAATTACTACAATTTACTCGGTTTGGGATAATATGACCCCTTACAGAACCAAAAGTGTACACTTTTTGTGCTTATGAACTCAGCAACTAAAATTCATAGCCAATATGGGCACCCTTTTTCTGTCAAGCTCCCATGTCGCAACAAACTTGCTGGGTTTCGGCTTCGGGCTGTCAGATGGGCGATCATCCGTCACGTCCCCCAGCTCCGGCGATGATGCCATATCAACCCGAAGCTGGCATCGTACCCACGCCTCGAAGTATGGCGGTTCCAGAACCCTGCCATACCCTAAACCCTTAACCCTTCCTCGCCGGGCTTGACCCAGTTGTGAGGGCTGAAACCCTTAGCCCTAGCTTTGGGGTGGCACGCCCAGGTCGTACGGCGTGGTCTGAAGAGGCTGGAACCTTCTCAAAGTAAGGGGGTGCATGAAGCCGCCAAGCTTAGGGTTTAAGGTTTAGGGTTAATGTTACTGTGTTCACTTGTATGTGTATGCTTGTGGCTTTGGGGTTTTGACTTTCAGGTGCTAAGCATGCGGATTTGATTTCGGCTCGGCTCAGTAGTACCACGATATCTCAATTTTCCCACGGGTGTCACTGATAGGTACCCCACATGAACATCTGAAGACCCAACCCTACACCCTTTTAAACCCAGGACAAGCCTAGACTCTAAACCTTCCTGCAAGATTGACTTTCTACCCCTCAAGAAACACCTCCAAACTCTACAAAATGGAGTCAGGGTTCCTGATTATGCTTACTGTACACCTGCAGCAGACCCCCAAGCCCTGCTCTAATCATGTAGGCCCCATATGACCAAGCCTGCACAAAGGATCCTCTGACCAGGAATCCGGACCTTCAAGACATGTTGAACTATCTTTCAACAGTCTCCAAGAGTCAGTGGAGGCAACAACAGAAACGCAGACCTATGTCGGGATTTCTTAGCCGTAGTAGATTTGTCCAGGGTCTTCCAAGTTTTTCAGTGGGCGTTGGTACAGGATTGTTATGGGGTTTTGTAGGTTTTGTAATGGCTTGATACAGGATTGTTGTGGGTTTTGTAGGTTTTGTAATGGCTTGATACAGGATTGTTGTGGGTTGTGTAGGTTTCATAATGGCTTGATAAATGGCGCTACGCAAAGTTCGTGTGCTATGCAGAGAGGTCCTCAAATGAGCAGTGTTCCACGTGTCCAGGAGTGAGTCTTCGGCCCTCGAACATGCGGCTCACCGAGGGTTGGACTTCAATACTGTACTTAGGGTTTAGGGTTTAGGGACTTAGAAGTCTAGGGTTTAGGGTTTAGGGACTTAGAAGTCTAGGGTTTAGGGTTTAGGGACTTAGAAGTCTGTGTCGCTAAGTCGGGTAGATTCATCTTGACCTAGTATTCGGAGCCATGGCATCTGCCGATGACGAGTTGCTGCGTGTGGCCTGTCTCGAAGCTTGGCCGCCGCAAGCTTTGCAGGTCAATTTCTAGGGTTCAGGGCTCAATGCTCACGCATCGATTCGAGGGTGCTGTCATTGTTTTAACATAAACAAGCGGTATGCCGTAGGTTTGTGCTCACTCCTTTGGAAGTCTCGGCTGCACTTGAGGACGTCTTGCAAAATTCGAGACGGCTGCAGGTGAAGGGCTTAGCTGTAGGGTTGTGGGGTGTAGGGTAGGGGCAGGACTGCAACATTGTAACATATACTCTTGATTCCACCGTAAGTCGTCGTTGTTGTTCCATGTCCGCCTTTAGATTGAGATCTTGGGGGGGGGGGTATGGGATGCTCGGATACTCGCTGTCGTTGTGCATCCGCAGCTGTTCAACCTTAGACTGCGATGGCGAAAGCAGAAACTTTTCAACCTTAGCTGGGGATGGCGAAAGCAGATCTGCTTGGAAGTTTTCGAGACACATTCCGTTCGAGGGCATCTCGGGGAAGTGTTGCACATCAATCGCAAGCCAGTCCAGTCAGTGTTGCAGTCCTATATCACAGTTGTCTGTGGTTCCATCGATGCACATGATTCAATGATGCAGTTCAACAAGCTCTACGTCCTGAAGGAAGCTCGGAAGCATACATTCTATAGATCTAGTTTTCTACACACCTCTCCAAATACCGACAAGAGCAAGTACAACTGTAGCTCCAGGTTGCAAAGTTGAAGAAGAGGCTCTCAGATTCTTGGAGCACTCACTGTACTTATCCGTGTTCATTCGCTCAAAGTCCGTTGTGGTCGTGGGCGGTCCTGCCGCAGCGCTCATTCGACTCTCATGGCAGTTGCAGGATTGCATCAACGCCTGGTGTACGGGCACACCATCTCCGAGCATGCTCGAGGCTGGCCACGCGGCGCGCGCATTTATGGTTTTTAGGGGTTTCGGGCTGAGGGTGTCGCCAGATTTCTGGTTTTGGGTTTTGTCAGGGTTTCAGTTTGGCCAGCATCCTAGAAGAATCTGAATAATAGGGCTTGAAGTGATTGACAGGGGAAGGGGTTCAACGTTGTTTCTGGCTGGTCAGCTATCTTCGGTAGTTTAAGGAGAATTTGCGGTCTGTCCGGTTTCGGGATTGAAAGGGATCCTCTAGGGTTTTGAAAGGCTTGGGATTTAGGCAATTAGCTTCTAGGACTGACTGTTGAAGAAACAGCAGGAATCTGTGTTCGGTTCTGGGCTTTTGGAGTTGAAGGTTTCGGCCTTTTCTTGTTCAAGGGTTGGCTGCTGCTGTCTCGAGAACGCGGGCTTCCTACACAGAAAACTTCACAGATAGTGCGAGTTCAGTCGCGTCCCTCTAGTTCAGTAGGGTTTCCTATGTTGGGGTCTGCAGTATTCATGCAGGAACCCCGAACAATTGACCTGCACTTCCTAATATAACATATCCTTGGTGCTACACCCTCACCCCTGCACCCTGCCCTAAACCCAAGCCGCACTCAACCCCACAACGCAACCCAAACAATCCAAGTATGACCATAGTACGCCTTTTAGTAGATATTTGAGCCCCCAAAGTGTGTGTATGTATGTGTATATATATATATATACATACGTAATACTGCCACCCGGACCTCCGGGGCAAGACCCGAAGATACCCGAAGGGCCAACCCCCCAGTCGGGAAGCCCCGTGAGGGAGCTCCTCGGTTTCTGTCACATTGTCCGAATATAGGAGCCTTGGTCACCTCATTAAATGACCTATACTACTATTTTGGGGGTTCCTTATAATTACAGTAGAACGGGCCCCAAAGCCCTATTCTAATCATTAAGGCTCCTCTATGAGTTCTTTGGTGTTGAAACTCCCATACAGGGTGCCTATAAGCCTAGAAGGTTCTCTAATTGGGTACCGCTAATCAGGCTCCTACAGGGATCTCTAGTGTCCGGCTTTAAAGGAACCTCTCAGGCCAACCACAACTCAGGGGCTACCTGTGGTTTGTCTCGCAAAGAGCGCTTTAGCACAGAAGCCTACATAATTACCCTAATTATTCCTTAGGGTTCCTTGTTACAAGCATTAAGGGAGCCCAAAACCCTATTCTGATTTTTAAGGCCCTTATATTGGACGGTGATTGGCCTTGGGAGTTCCGATCTTGCGGTTCAAGCTGGAGTGTCGGCAGACTCAGCCGAGCATGTGTAGTTTGCTGTTTACACAAAGCACACACAAATTAGGCGCACATACCAAGCTACGACGTTCGTGGATTCGTGGACAGGCGGACTAGGCAGATTAGAAAGACTAGCCAGACAGACTAGACAGAGACAGACAGACATACAGACTCAGGCAGAGAGGACAATCATACAGGTGGTGCGAAGGTCATGAGCACAAGCTCTCCACAGACAAACCTTCAGAACCGCACGCACACACAGACATGACAGAAAGAGTAAAGAGCCATTGTTCTGTATGTTTGCATCACCAAAACTGTTCCCTACACGTTCCACATATTACGTTCCATATTTGTAGATACGTTTCATATTTGTATATACAGGTGTGAACAGAACCCTGGGCAGGTAAATATACTACCTACCTACCTACCTACCTACCTACCTACCTACCTACCTACCTGGGTATGTAGGCACGTAAGTAAGTAAGTATGTATGTCAATGTATGTATGTATGTATGTATGTATGTATGTATGTACGTATGTATGTATGTATGTATGAATTTAATCAGCCATGTCCTAATTACTGTTTGACAGAGGCATGTAATTTTAGTTCTTTCCCGCCCACCGAAAACCCAGCTTTGCGCGAGGGCTGTTCTGTCCTTCACGTGGAGCTGGATGGCTCCTACAAGAGCAGCCCCGGTGCAGAGCTGCTTAGCTTAGAGTCTAGTATCTAGTGCTTTTGGCAAGGTGCAAGGGATCACCCCCTCCAAAAATTATCAAGACCCACTGCCCTGACCGTCTAATCCTACCAGTCTCGGCCAGTGGTTATAAGCTAGGTCCGCTAGGTTTCATTGTTTCGGGTTGATGTTTTCATATCTGTGAGTGGAGTGCTTTGATCTGTTCTCCATCGTTCACCAGCTTTAGCTTTATCCTGTCGGATTTTCGACCGCCCGCTTACGGTAACCCTATAAGCCCTCTAATCTGATCTACGTGCCCCTCCCTCATTTGTAGCCCGCTAGCTAGGTCTCCTCGAGGCTTCTTCGAACTCCGACCCGCCTTACCCTAAGGGCCCATGTAGGAAATACTTGGGCCCCAAAGTACCTATATAGGGACTACTTTAGGGCTAAAGCATATACGATGTAGAGTACATGGACCCTAAGCGTTTCTTCCGGATCCCTAGCATGACGTTTGGAATAGTCAATGCCTTTTCGAGCGGATTTGGCAATCGGGTCGTTGGTTCAGGGCGCAGCAGCAATTGAAACGAACGTCATATGCTTGAAACTGGAGACAAGCAACATGGAGACAGGTCCAGAACTCCCATATGCATCCAGTATACTGGTGATGGGGTATGCGAACACATGATGTTCATCGGGTAGACATCAGGTTCCAACGCATGCCGAGGTTAGGTATTTATTGGGTGTAGGCTTCAAGTACCGGGTGTGGGGTTGCGAGTGTCGGGGGCATCTGTTCGAGAATCTCCTTTACCTGGGTTAACCTCGAAGACAAGATCGCTGAGGACAGAACTGGGGTCGGCGACCGCCCATAAGATGTCGCAGGAAGCCTTGCAGAACCCGCCAAGCCACAACAATTGAAACCAAGAAGTGTCAATCTTGGAGGGCTCTAGCAGATATCCTGACGTGACCCCAGCGCCGAAGTCAGTAAAGCTGGATCCCAAAATGCTTTGTGAATGCCAAGCTGCAAACGAACACTGTGTGCCTTGGCATAAAAGATAAACTAAGCCCTAACCCTATCAACCCTAAACCCCGACAGGAAACCTTGAACTCGGAGCTGCAAACAATACCCTTGCAAGGTATACGCTTCCTGCTGGGTCGTCTGCGGCTGAGGCGGTCATTGAGATGGTAAGAGTCCTGCAGACAGGCAGCCGCTTGGCATGTCGAAAGCTTCAACTGGTACGTCTGAGACCAACACGAAGTAAGACGGCCATGATGATAGGCATTTTTCTGGCATTATCCTGTGAAAACCCCAAGCCCCAATCTCTTTGAGACTCAGGCAAATCTTCCGCCTCTGTGCATGCACGGATCGGCAGCAAGGCCTCCCTGTGGCTGGTCTTTCTCAAGGCAACTGCTGTGGGGTTTAGAGGTTTGGGTTTCGGATTTGTTCTGGTGCTGCGTAGGCTTTGCCGGCTTGGGATCAAGGAAACTTGTTGTAGGTGCCAGATACCTGGGTCCTCCGTCCGTACAAGGGATACTGTAGTGAGAGAGGTGCCTGCAGCTCCCTCGAAGTGCTGTCATATGATTAGATACCCCAAAAGAACGAGTCTAGTGATGAAGGGCCCTAACCTACTTATGAGAACACGGCCTCAGTAAGCCTGAGATGGTCAGTCTAAAAGGTTCGGTGGCTGCCACCACTCAGCGAACACAAGCTCTTTGTGTGTAAATAAACAAATATTCTGTATGTGTGTATGTACGCGTGCATGCCTGCATGGATGTCTGTATGTAGTAGCGACTGCGTGTGGGATTCTGAGGTGTTGCACATCCGCAGATTCGTAAGGGTGTCTGTGTTCATACAGCAGCTGCTTTGATCTCAAAGTCACTTTCTGTTAACACCTTGGTGTTGTACGCAGTCTCTATATAGTTACACATGGACATTGTCAAGGCGGTATGCTGAACCCGATAAAGACGGCATACTAAACCCTCGAACAGCCTGATGATGTGGATCGGATCTGTAGGCCTCGGATGTGACCAGGGTTGAAGGAACTCGGGCCAGGGATTCTCTTCAGAGATTTTAGGACACTTAGGATTCAAGTTCTGAGGCTTTTCATGTTTTAGGATAGGGCCGTTTTCGAAGTGCAATCCTTTGTATCTGGGGTTTAGTTTCTACGTCTGGTAACTCCGATACAGACCCCACAGAACGTTTGACATAAGTGGTCACCACAGACAACGGTAGCGTGTTGTTCATTTTGCTTCTGGTTCCGTATTCGGTGTTTGGGAGTTTAGGACTTTCGATTTCGATCTGTGGCCTGCAGTTGCAGTCGTCCATTATTGCATCAGGAGGCTTTGAGGCACCTTGCGGTACACACAGAATGCAGGCCCGGCCCGCCTGCAGTCTTCAAGTGGGTTCAGCTCCGACAAGCCATGCCGGATTTGTTACAGCCTTGCCTCATCGAAACCAACATGGAAGCCCTTCTATATCCTTCTATTCTTGCCGTTCTACCCCCCCCCCCTTTAGAAGAACGGTCGTCTATCATGGAGCTCTTTTCAGTCTCCATGTTCGTTACAGAGGAAGAAAGCGAGCCTTCACGGAAGCACGGGACACGAAACATCGATCCTATACGTACCCTTGTTACTATAATTGGGTCAGCCTGAGTTCAAAAGTATGGGCTGACTTGCAGGACGTGCAATGGAAGTGCATTTCTGTTGCTGCAGCTCTACCAGGGGAGATGACATTGCCGAGCCCTGTCATCGTTCTACAGGATTCGCCTTTTTCAAAGCTTAAGTCCTGACTTGAAACCCTGAACGCTAAAACATCTGTGGCCCCATACATAAGCCGTATATCGCTAAAGCCAAAGCACAACAACCTAAACTAGTGCCAGAGCAATCCCCCTGTCATGTATTTACGTTCGTAATATGTAATTCGGGTCTCAATGAAGGCTCCTGTCCCACCAAGCCTGTGGTATTTGCACTCGTGTGTGTGTCTACGCACGCACGTGCGTGTTTGGTTGTGGTTGCTCGGGCTCCAAAGTCAACACACCTCATTATAGGAGCACCGTAGAGTGAGAGCCTTATTTCTGGAAAACCCAACCAAGACCACATAAAGGACCCAAACGCGAGATATCTTGAAACATGTCTGAACATTTGTATACAGTATAATGGTACAGCATATTTGTTTTAAGGAGATTGGGTTTTGTTGGAAACCCTATACCACCTGGACCTTACAAACGGCATCAAACCGCACATGCCTTAAGATCCTAGAGCCACTAAGCCCTACAATCCGCCGAGCAAGCTTGAATGCAGATGGAGCCCCTGTTAGGAACCCAACAAAATCGAAGTCAGGGTCGTACGCCGACAGTTTCTAGAAACAATTCTAAGTCACATGGGACGAAGCCCGAACAACATTGGTTTTGGAAGCGGAGGTAGCAGAAGGCTCGAAAAGCTTGAAAAACAGAAAACAGTCCATGTGAGGTTTCGGTGTTCTAATTGATACTCAAGCCGTTGCAACCCTAAACCCTAAGCCCTAAACGGTTTGGGATTTAGGAGTTAGGGTTTAGGAAGTTTAGGGCCAAACAAGGTGTTTGTTCGGACGGTGCTTCTTTTGGTGGAAGAGCCAAGTTTCAGAAGACCTGAACCTCGAAACCGACACTTTGATGCCGAAGACCGGCGGAACCAAGCCCTGCAACTCTATAGAAAAACTTATGATCCCCAAACTCTAAACCCTATAGTTCCTACAAGACCTAAGACTTGACTTTGAGGGTGTTTAGGAGATAGATTATGTGGACCTGAGCCTAAACAAAGAGCTGGGGACTTAAGACCGTCGAACAGAAACTCTATACACCCTAAATCCTACACCCTAAACTCCATAGTCTCTATACCCTACCTAAAGCCTATTCTGGGCCGAAGCCAAGGAAGGACTTCGAAGGGATCAGTGCTTGCGTTTGGGACGGCTACTGCAAGGCCAATCGGGCCTGTGACGGGAAGACCATGGCCGAGCCTCTCTATCTGACCGTTTAGGGTTTAGGGTATAGGGTTTAGGGTTTAGGGGGGGGGTGAGGAGGGGGCGGTTGAGATTTCATCAGGGTTTAGGTAGGGTTTACGGTGTTTTGGGTGTTGGGAAGAGGATTGGGCTTGTGGAAACTAGCGCCGCACTTTGTCATGTCGGGTTTGAGGGTTATAGCCGGTATCCCAGCATAAAGATGTAAAACCCAAGAGATGTATTTTGAAAGCTTCGGGAACAGTGAGGATTTTAGAAGTGTCGTTGATGGTTTAATGGTCTGTGATGTTTGTTACAGAAGCCTCAATGCTTCGAACTAGTGACTGTTTGAGTCTATGTACAAGCTCTACGAAGTTCTGACGGATTATCTCTCTAAACAGACTTCCCGCTCTACAGGCCCCTGCAGTTCCGTACCCTAATCTTCGGATAGAGGGCCGGACCATGCCAAGGTACTTCCATGAGACCTGTCGGCTGACTTTCGTGGATGGCACCGGCGCTGTCATGATTATCGACAGTGCTCAATTCTGCAACATGGTGCAGACCCGATATACAACCCCAATGCACAAGGACTACGCCCACCTTCGGGACGACCCTCGCGTTGGCAGCCGTGATGCCCTCTTGTCCATAGATTTTGGAAGCCTCTCCACGCCCATCGCCATGGTTGTTCTTACCGTAGCACACCCGCCATGCTTGTGGACCGATCTCCTGACCGTCGCGAAGCTTCAGGGCAAGTGGTGGATTGTGCACAAATCCTCCGTGAAGGATCCCTTCCTCGAGGAGGAGAAGAAGTGAAGAAGCAGAAAATTCTGAAAGTATAAGCCAAGCCTGAAACCCAGAGCTCTGCAGCTCATGCTCTTATGCCTTAAGCCTTGCTGTCCCGATTTTGCACACCTTATCATTCTTGGGGCCTGAGAAACCCGAACGTCCTAGGACCTAGGACCCCCAAATCCTACACGTTAAACCCAAAGCCTGATTAAGCATGCATCCTCCGAGTCGCGAGCATCCAAACCCTAATTACACCCGTCCGTACTAAACCCTAAGACCCTAAAGCCATCATCCTCCTTGGACTTCGTGCTCTATGAGGATGATCAAAGATCTCATGAATCGATTTTTTTGGCCCACTCCCACCAACCTGCCTAAGCTAACCAAGGGCTGAGGGCTTAAACCTTGCAGCTTGCTATAAGATGCTATAACATACGGTGCTATATACTAAGCTATACCAGACAAGACTAGACTAGACTAGACCATGCTAGTACTTGACTACATTATACTATACTGCACGACACTACACTATACTCTGCCATGCTATACTTTGCCATGCGCTACTATCCTATGCTTGCCTATACAACAATGATTATATTTGCCCGAAAAATTCTTGCATCTAAACCCCCAGAGCCGCCCCAAATGCTGAGCTCTGATCGGTCAGACCTCAGCAGACCATCTTCGGCCCAGTTTTCCATGGCGCAGCCCACAGCGAGTTGGCACCCCAAGCCTGCAGCACAACTCCCAGCTCCAATTGAACGCCTTAGAGCCGAGATTCCCTGGTGAGGTAGCAAAACCTGGCTGCATTCAAAACCCTCCCAGGTACGTGCTTTCGGCAGTTCAGAAGTCTTTTCGCACAGAGGTGTCTCAAATTTTCCATGGTCTCCACGGGTGTAAAGTGTAAGGAGTGGCTTCTTATCAACTCATGATTTAAGGCTTACATGTCTGGCAGAAAGTCCAACAACTTCGGACAATCCGCAGTCGAACAGCTCAGCCTCCCACCCCTTCAAACCAAAACCCCTTCAAACCCAAAACTTGGCAAAGAAGGTATTGTGGTTGTATACATCGGAGACTGAACGACTCTTGCAGGGGGACTAATGGCCTAATGCCTCGTACACATAATATAGACCTCCCCAAGGACACAAAAAGAGCGACCAACGAAACAGATCGTAAACGACATTGCTTCAGCTCCATCATCCGTGACCTAATGTTTTAGATAGCTAAGTGCGTATCTCCACCTATTTCCAGGCGGGTATACAAAGAATTAACCGATTCTGGGCCTGGGAACTCAGCTACCAGGAATCTAGCCATGCAGATCGCAGGTAGAAGTTGTTGAAAATATACAAATCATCGACCTTTCAGATGACGAGCCAAAGCTCGAAGAACTAGCTCCAAACCTAGCATACTATGATTGTGCCCGTGGTTCATGAAGCCTGTGCAACTGTGCAAGAGCATTCGGCCCGGAAGCTAATAAATCTGCAGTGTTTGAAGAGAGCTTAGGGCGAGTCTGAGAAGCGTGGGCTGCGATTCCAGAGAGGGGCCCAGCCGTGACGCAGCACACGGCATCAGACCGGGACGCAGGATTGTGAAAAAAACAGGGCATCGCAACGGTGCGCGTATGCAACTGCATGTAGCTACCATCGTCATCAACTAGACCTTGTCAAAACTCACGGCAGGAGAAGGCCCCCAGCAAGCCGGGAATGCGTGAGCACAATACCGTTATGTCTTGCAAGGGTCAGAGATCCAGGTTTCGGTTGGTGACCCCCTCGGGTATAGAACCCTAGGCCCTGAACCCGTATACCCTAAACAGCACCCCTTCAGGAGCCTGTAAAACCTTGGGAGCCCCGAAACGTGAGCCCGATGCCATGAGCAGCCACAAGCAACTCAGCTCCGCATTCCATCTGCGAGTTGTCCCAATAAAGCTTTGCTTTCTTGTCCGAAATGGTCGCACACATGTGTGTATAATTAGCATCTGTACATATACATAAGAAAGTATGTGTGTACATATATATATATATATTTTTTTCTGGAGAGTGCGTCGGAATATATACAGGTCCGTGTTTTTCGAGCGAAATGAGCGATTTTCAGTATCTTTCATGACTCTCGGGCATTTTGGCTTATCTTTAATAAAAAATCAAACACAATGGCAAAGTCTCTTGCAAGTTTATAAACATGCTGAATGTTAGTTCATATACAATTGTTGT